TTGTATTAAAAACTTTTGACAATTCCTTATTTTGGAGAGGCTATTGCTTTCCATTGTTCTTCAATTAAACAACAAATCAAATTTATCAAGATCTAAATCTTGTGGTGTTCAAAACATTGGATCGTGGGTTCTTCATTGTATAATCAAGGGGTTCAACGCATATTTGTTATCATTGGGTTTTTTGGTTCACTTCATTGGGTTTTTTGGTTCACTTCAAGTCCAAAACTGGATCTAATTGGCGTTCTTGGGTTCTGCATCAATCTAGTTGTGGGTTTCGTAGCCATCGTTGCTAACAAGCTCGCATCATGGTTCCTAGCCTACTCCACTCTCCTCTCACGCTTATTTCTAAGATGAGGATTCCGAGGCACTTGATCATAACCCTGCTCATGCCTTCCAAATTGGGAAAGTTCATGCTGCCTATTTCTAAGTGTAGAAGGAGGAGGTTGAGCAACCCATTTCTAGGTACGGGGAAAGGTTGAGCTCGCATATTTCTAGGTAGCCCTAGGCTCAATCTGTTAAAAACACTTACCAACCTTTAGAGCATTTCCTCCGGGTTGAAGTCTGGAGGAAAATCATATGGAACTTCAGTGGGTTGGTTAGTGGCATAATTGGTGGATGTATCCACCTCAACTCTCTTTCCTAGAGAGTTTTTTTCCTGGCATAGTATGGATAATCAGCCATTTGGCTTTGGACCTCCTCTTTGTCAGGATAGTAGTTTCCTTGGGATGGGTTTTGGAATGCATTTCTAGGGGTTGCATATGGAGAGATTGGGTATCCTCCTTAAGCCTTGCATGCTTCTCAGTAATTCATGCATGTCTATGTTCTGCTGAGTTATGTCTCTTATGTTTGTAGCCATTGTAACCACTTCCCTAGTGAGCGTGACAACTATCCTTGACCCATCTCATCTATGATGCTAGTGAGGTCTATAGCAAATGGCCATAATAGCATACGAGGCTTTCCCTTCTTCAAAGTAATCCCAAGCCCTTCGAGGCGCAAACCCTTCATTGTTTGAACTCATGGCAACATACTTTTCTGGACAAATGATATTTCTAGAATAACTCTTAGTAGAACAGTTTTACCTTGGATTTTCCAACGATTTTTTCTTAGAACCTTTCCTTTTCAGGTGTTTGAAAATCGCTTCTCCGCAAGGATTGCTTCCAACTTGCTTTTTTCTACTGGATTTTCATGGTTGAAATGTGTGATTTTCCACAGATGGTGCCAATATGTTGACCCCCAAAAACATAACTCCAACGTAGACAATAGATATCATGCCCACTCATGCCAACCTAAGTAAATTTTGGCACGTTTAGATCTGTGAACAGAATGAAGAAGGGTAACACGTGAATGAGAGAGATGCTTCACGGCGAAAGATAAAAATGTTCAAGCACCGGTGGTAATGACTAAAGTGACTACGCTAACAAACAATCACCAACTAAGATATAAATAACCTAATATCCAAACTAGCAATAATAGATCAAGCAAGAATGTTTATTGAGAATGTTCTTGTATATTATCTTTTTCAATGTTCAAAGAACCATCTTTTTTATGTACAAAGACTACCTATTTATATATTTCTGGCCATTGTGGTGATCGTAGGATCAGAACCACGTGGCCTCATTCTCTTAACCTAAGCCTCATATTACTAAATCTATCATACATTAAATACATTAACAACGAATCAGCCCCCCTATATAATAGGATGACACACCTGACATTTTTTTTCACAAACGTCACATCAATCATCCCTAAAAGTTATTTGTAAATATTGCAAGAGACAACTTCAGCTTCAGGGACCTCGGATGAACTAAGGGCTTCGACTTGAGAGGGCTTCGTGTTGGTGGTCTTTGATGTGAAGAGCTTTGGCATAACTACAGCCTCGGCGTATAGCTTCAACCATTAAGCATAGCTTCGGCAGGAGGTTCAATCTTTATCAGACTTTCTTGTCTGTGGCCACTTGGATCCTCGTTGACTTTCCCTTCCACGTGGACTACGAAATTGGCATTCTAACTGAAGTTTCAATAGCGAGGCTTAACAATGTGCTTCATTTAATTCAATTGATTGATCATTAATTAATGAATTTAGGGAAATTGATATTAATAGGGGATATATATATTTCTAACTCATGCAATAAACAACATATGTTTTGACAAGAGATCGAGAGCTACTCTTATAGGTCATGAAACCTTATTTGAATTTCTATGATTAATGCATTTGTATGCATTATAATTTATATGGAGATATAGTAAATTTGGTCATGTAAATAGGACTAGTTTTACTTGAGAGAAATCACTAGTTAAATTGGATAATCCAGTTGTTAACACATATAAATAGAGCTGTAGCATGTTGAATTAAGAATTCTTTAAACAATAAATTTATATTCACACTAATTTATATTGAAGCTAGGTTTAGATAAACTTGATAGTAAAGAATCATATTCTCTGAAGGAATGATAATTGGACTTAAAGTCCACAAAGGTGAACTAGAAACACAGGTATGTTCTTTTTGTTGTTTTCAAGCCATTTTCAATTTTCGAAAATACTGAAACACGTTTCTTTACCTATTTTCAAAAACGAATTTCCAAAAACGAGTTTAAAAGTTACAAAGAAAACGGAAAATGCCAAAAAAGTCGGTTTGACTGTTTTCAGTTAAAACCAAGACGAAACAAGTAAAAAATCAAAAACTTTTATTAAAAAGTTTTACTGTTTTTCTTGCACAAAAGTCGTTAGAGTTTTACCCGTGATTTTGTATTTTGGCTTTTACTTAAGTTTTGAGTTTTGTTTTAACAGAAATATGAAGAGAACAACCCCTTACTTTTTCATAACATTATGAAGTTCATTACTTTTTGGAAAAGAAGATTAGTGGTTCCATTTTTTGGCAGACATGACCTTGTCAAACTCCTTCATCAAGTCGTCCTTGAGTTCCGTGTAGCGCTTTCTTTTCATCCTCCATTCCTCTGGAGTTCCGTTGTCCAATAAGAGAGTACTGACCTTTTCATCTACTAAAAGCTCATCAAGAACTTTCGAGCAATTGGAGAAGAAGCACTGACCTTTTGCAACTGCCATTAATGAAAGGATCATATCAAGAGGGTCCATCGTGAAATCGAAATGAGTAATGTAAATTAGCCCACTGCAATTATAACCAAGTTTATGTGGTGCTAATGTGATATTAGATGATAAGTACAGTTAAATGAGTTATTTAATTCTACATTTCATTTAGTCCATCACCTAATATCATATATACTGAGGTTATAATCTCAATGAGGCTAAATAACATTATTCAATCGAAATTCCATGGTATTGTTATCTATGCTTTAATGCAATAAACACTAAATTGAAATCCAGTAAATTGGATCAAGTCTCAAAATTTTTCATAAATCCAAAGTTTTTTCATACTTTTTAGCCCTACGTTCTTTAAAAAAAAATCCCAAAAAATGGGTGTCAAACAATAATATACACGAATTCAGTCCATCGCTTTAAATTTATTTTCTATATATGGAAAGTTCAAGGGTCAGCATAGTCCATAAAAAATTCAATAGAACAGTTAAAGTCAGGAACGTACGCTAATAAGTTTCTCTTTACCTTTATTTATTTCACTATTTCTCTGAAAAATCAAAAGAAAAAATTTGACACTTTTTGCTGTCTAATACGCGTTGCCCTCCAAAAAAAATGACTACAAAAAATAAAAAAAAATGGACACTTTTCACTATTTCTATGTTAACGAAGATAAATGACTACAAAAAAAAAATTTAAAATAAATAAATAAATAAAATAAAATAAAATAAAAAATAGTGAGAGACACAGAGAGAGTACTGGGCCGGCCAAATATAAGAGGACATACTATTTGGGTGCACTTATTCCACAACTATCAGCGATAAATGCACAATTCCTTCTTCTGTTTCTTATTTTAGAAACCTTGTGGACCTACTGAAGCTAAGATGGGATTCAAATATAGCTTAACTTCAGTTGCAAGTCTTCATAACAAGCCATTTTCATCTAACATGACGAGAAGTTTATTATGAGTAAATTTTAAAGTAAATAACCTTTTTTATTAGTCAAAAGTGAAATTAAGTAAGTTAATTGATAATGTAAAGAGTTACTTTGAAAATAAATAACTATTTCACTTAAAAATAAGAAAAGAGTAACTTATACAAGCATGTTTGCAAACAAAAAAAAACTTTTTGCCTTTGTTTAAGCTTAGCCAAAGATGCTCTAAATGAGCAAGAGTCGTTAAATGGTTTAAGTTCGGCTTACCAGTTTTTTGCAGTGTTTGCAGCCTCAACTGTTCAGTTGACATATCACTCAAATCAACCTCTTTGAGATTTCCATACGAGCTTTTTGATGATAAAGCCCAAAAAATTGTGCTGTTGAATCTGCTTCTGCTATCTGCATAGAGAATTTGGCTTCTACAGGAAATAGCACCCGTGCCATCGCCACTGCCAATTTATAATCAATACCATTAGCTATGTAGTCTCAAGGCCAGAGTGGCATTTCTTTTCGGAGGAAAATAAACAATGAACCTAAGTTATCATAATGTGGCACATACTGCCACGACCTGTCCCAAAACTCCTTACTAGACTCAAGACGTGGCGTGCGCCGATGATAAGTGCAAGCTTGGCACTGGACCCATCACCAA